GTAATCCTGTGGAGTTCCTGTGGAGATCCTGTGGAGTTCCTGTGGAGATTGTGTGGAGTTTGTAATCCTGTGAAGCTTTTGTGGGGGTCCTGTGGGCCACAATCAATCCTACGGTGCGCTGGTGATTTTTGGATTTTCTGTGGAAGTCGTGCCTTATTTTAGTATTTTCATATTATATATTTATATATATATATATTAAATATATATTAGTATTTTTATATATATATATTAAATTCCTAACTTTTCTGGCAGGCTTTAGCCTTAGTCAGCTGCACTGGGTGGCTTTCTTTCAAGCCTCTCCCAGGTGAAACATTTGGCGTGCACTGGGGGGCTTTCTTTCAAGCCTCTCCCAGGTGAAACATTTGGCATGCACTGGGTGGCTTTCTTTCAAGCCTCTCCCAGGTGAAACTTTGAGGGCACAGTGTTGGCTGTTTTTCAAGCCTCAGAGGTCATCTGACTCGACCTTCTGCTTCTTTTGGTCTTCCTCTTTTGAGGTGCTGGAGGAAGACTTATCAGTCGATGAAGTTTCTTCTGGCCTTCTTTCAGGCGTCGCCCCTTCTTTGCTCTCCTCTTGAGAGGACTCATCTGGCCTTTTTCAGGCCTCTCCACGTCTGGGGAAGGTTCATCTGGCCTTTTTTCAGGCCTCTCCCCACTTGGCCCTTCTTTCAAGACCACTGCAGGGCCTGCTTCTTGACTGGCAGGAGTCAGAACCACAGCTGGCTGTGGCCTTCTTTCAGGCCCCCCAAGCCTTTCCTCAAGGAACTTTCGCTGCAGTTCCAGGAAGGCTGCCCTCTCCTCTGCCAGCCTGGCTCTGTCAGCCAACACCTCCCTTTCCACTTTTGCCAGGTCCCTCTCCCTTTCTTTGATCAGCCTCCACTTTTGGGACCCTGGCTGTAGAGGCTGAACTTGGTTTGGAGGGTAGCCTTCCTGCAGGCCCCTTTCCCTCCTTTCTTGCACATCTGGCCTTTGGGACCTTTCAGCCTTTCTGGCCTCTCTGGACCTTTTGCCTCGCCCTTCTTGCCAAAAAGGGTCCCACTCTGGCCTGCCTTCCCAGTGTTCAGGCTCAAAGACTGGCCTTCTTTCATGCCCCTTCTTGCCCTTTTCTTCCTGGCCTCCCTTGCCTTTTTCTTCGGCTTCTGGCCTTCTCTCAGACCCCTGCTTGCCTTTTCCCTTTCCCTTCTTGCCTTTCTCTTCTGTGGCTGGCCTTTTTTCAGGCCCCTTCTTGCCTTTCCCCTTTCCCTTTTGGCCTTTCTCTTCTGTGTCTGACCTTCTTTCAGGTCCCTTCTTGCCTTCTCCCTTGCCCTTCTTGCCCTTCTGGCCTTTTCCTTCTGGCCTTCTTGCAGGCCCCTTGCCTTCTTCAGAAGAACTTTGGCCACCATCTGCCCACCTGTCTCTTCTGGCCTGCAGCCATTGGTCTTTTTCGTCTTCATCTGCCCATTCTCTTTCCATTTCTTCTTTCCAGCTTCTCCAACCTTTGCCCCAGTTCCCCTGCCAGGGCATGCCTTCTTTCAGGCAGCTGGGCCTTTTTGCAGGCCTCTTGCAGCTCTTGAGTTTCTGTTTGCTAACAAAAAGCTATGCTTGCTTGAGCCAAAAAAAGCGGAGTGCACACATTCGAGCATGTCTGTGGTTAGTTGTTGAGGCTGGAAATGTATAAATATGTTTGTTTGTTCAATGCATAAATACAACAAAATATACATATATTTCTTGTTTGGCTCAATACATATTTATATATATAGAGAAATTTTAAAGATATAAAGAAGTATCTGAAAATTTTCAAAAATGCTTTCGGTAAACACCACTGGCTTTAAAACTGCTGATACTTACATTGAACAGTTAAGCACCAAAGAGCATGTGAATGGATTGGAAAGTATATATTAGTCTATTCTTTTTGTGGGTGTCTCTTGAGAGCAGGGGAAATTGATACTTTAGATGGCTTCCCTACAGCTTAGTTTGATGTTGGTCAATCAGTATACCACATTGCAAGAGCTTAAGACACAGCCCTCCCAGATCACTCGCTCTTTTTTCATCGGCCAGCTAAATGCAATTGTCAATGTGCCTTTACACATGATCTACCTTCACTGGCCTTCCTTCAGGCCTTGAAGCAAAAACACAAATATATTGTTAGCCTTCTCTCAGGCCATTCCAACCATATGAGTCCACATCTTTGACCAAATCAGTCAACATCTTTGACCAAATCATCCCTTTTTTGTTGCATCTTCTCTTTTGTCGTGCCTTCCTCCATCACAACTTTTTCCAACTCCAGGATCACACTGTGGTGCCCCCCTGGAAAATGTTTGCCCATTTTCTTTGTGCAGCCCACTATGAGTTTCCACTGGCCTTCTTGCAGGCCTAGTAGATAGGCTTGATCCTTTCCCAAAACTTTCTTCACATCTGACCATGGCCTCCTTTCAGGCCCTGAGTAAGATGGCTTTTTCTTTGGGCCTTGCTTGGCTTCTGGCCTCCTTTCAGGCCCTGAGTAAGATGGCTTTTTCTTTATGCAATGCTTGGCTTTTGGTTTGCCGGCTGGCTTCTTGGAAAGACCAGGCCTTCTTGCAGGCCTTGAGCTTCCATCTGCCACATGCTGCTGGGCAGCTGCCTGGGCAGCCTGTTGTAGTTGCTCCCTGTAACTCGCCCTCTGTCGTTCTAAAATTGACATGGGTCGCTCTCTATCCTCATGCTCTGGTGATTTCAAGATCATGGGGAACCCATGAGAATCTACAGAGACCATTGAAATTTCTTCTTTCAAAGTTCTGGCCTTCTTGCAAGCCTGTTCTGAGCCAGGGGCGCTCTCGGTGTGGCTCT